CTAGTTTTTGCCCGCGACTTCGTCCGCGTTAATTTCTTCATTAGTAATATAGGTGTAGCTGACCGGGCAAACTCTATTCCGTCTTCAATAACCCGGTATTGGTATTTATTAAATTTATACTGTTTCAATCGAACAGAATGATTGACATATTAGTTAGTTGTCAAGTCTAATGTCAAAAAATCGTTTGTATGGGAAATAGAAAAGGGCTGTTTTTAGGGTTTTCCCGGCAATTATTCCAATTTTTCTCACCTCTTAAACCTTCCCTGGACTTCCAAGTGTATTTCAAGACTAAAATTAGCCAAATCGGTTCAGCCGTCCTCGAGTTTTAGCGAGACTAAGGAACAGCAATCCATTTTTATATATACAGGGTGACTGGTGAATTACTATCGATATTTGAGGACGTGATATTTGACGATCATATATGACAAAATAAAAATTAATATAACATAAATATTAATAAACTTCTAAGTAAAGTTAACCAAAAGTTGTGTAATTAATTACGCATCGTGTGAACACCCTACAGATTAGGTATACACTGACACTCACACATACGCGTGTCGTGACGTAGTGTTGTATCAGCACGTCGCCGCACGCGTCCACACTTGAACATTTGGAACGTGTCAACACTACTTATTATTACGGAAATTTTGTCAAAAATTAAGTGCCTATTTTTTTTACATAATTCGAATGAGAATCATGTACCGAGTATTCTCCTTAAATATTGATAGTAATTCACCAGTCACCCTGTATAGAAGATATAGATATAGATAGATAGATGAAGATGATAATAATTAAACGACTGATGAAAATTAATATTAATTTTCATAAAACGTTTTAGGTATTAAAAAGTGTGTATAAATTATTGCAATGACATTATTTAAATAAAGTTCTTGATATTTTAATGCGATATTTAGTTTGTTTAATTTATTTTTTTTTGTTTTATTTTTTTTTATGTTTGTTTTGGTTGATTAAAGTTAATAATAAAAAATAACTCCCTAGTGGCATGAATGTCATGTTTCCAATTTTTAATGGATGGTATCACAATACATTTTTTTATACCATTTTTATTTACTTCAAATCTCTGGAAATAAAAAAATATATTAAAAATATTTTAAGACATAGGCCTTATCATTAGATAGATAAACTTCTTTCTAAATTTCTAAATCTGTGGTTTAAATTTATATTATATTTAAAATGCTTTATGATGTTTTATAATTTAAAAGTAAATATAGCATTCATAGTTAATTTTAAGCTTAGTTATATGCCCATAACTTACCTTTAGGAAATAATTGAGAGGAATTAGAGAACTCCTTTGTAGCTGAACTTGATTCATATTTAAATCCAAGTGGTGACTACAAGATGTGTTATTGTCTTCTTTTTGTGTATCAACACATTTTTCAGTTTCAACAGAATGTGATGAGTGTACGGTCTCAAATGTTGGTGCTGCTAAATAAAATATTTTTTTAAATACAAATAAATATATTAAAAGAAAAGTTGAATGTTGAAGACAGTTGAATGATAACATATTGTCTTAATTGTATCTTTCTTCCTCGTTTCTTTTAGAGTTTCTGATTGAATGTAAATAGACTTGTAATTATTCCTGAATTAAACACTGCCATTCTTATCTTCTATATATACATATAAAAATGGATTGCTGTTCCTTAGTCTCGCTAAAACTCGAGAACGGCTGAACCGATTTGGCTAATTTTAGTCTTGAAATACTCCTGGAAGTCCAGGGAAGGTTTAAAAGGTGAGAAAAAATGGAAAAATTGCCGGGAAAACCCTAAAAACAGCCCTTTTCTATTTCCCATACAAACAATTTTTTGACATTAGACTTGACAACTTACTAATATGTCAATCATTCTGTTCGATTGAAACAGTAGAAATTTAATATATACCTACCAATACCGGGGTATTGAAGACGGAATAGAGTTTGCCCGGTCAGCTATACCTATATTACTAATGACGAAATTAACGCGGACGAAGTCGCGGGCAAAAACTAGTATTACATAAAAAACTATAAACAACTTTTTTTTGGTTTGTAGTTATCCAGTGAAATTATAATCTCTGCATATTTAGAACACTTTGTTTTTGTTTTACCTTTGTAAAGAAGTGACACAAGTAATTATTTTGCGATACTGTTTTTAGGCGTTTTTCTTTATTTAGATAAAAAGGTAATAAAGACTGCACATAATAAATCTATCAAACCACATGTAAGTATATAAAAATGTTAAGATGTCTTGTATACCTTTTTCATTATATTCAATTAAATATAATTTTTGTTTTTAATTATGACCACCAAATTCTAAAGTAAAATAATAATAATGTAAAATATTATCTATAGTTATAAAATATAATTGATTACTTATAGTTTTTTTTTATATGTATGTATGTATTGTGTGCCTATAACTACTTGGGAAGTTGCTTTCTTTAGATACTTAAGTATAGAGTTGGTACAGCATTTTGAGTAAGTCGTTTACTTGAAGAACGGTAAAACTGTTCAAAATGACGATCACATATTCTTATATTGTTATAAATGTAACAATCTTCCTTTTGTTTCATGTCTTCATTTAAAATATATAATTTTCCATTGAATGAATTTCTCCAAATTTGGGTATTCAGGTTTAGGAAATTGATGAAAAGGACCTGAAATGTTTTTATTAGAAGTCAATAAACTGTTACGGTTGAAATTGGTGCAACAAGAGTAGTAATATATGATTATTGAAATTAGTTACGAGGAGATTTTCAATTATGTCGTTTGATAATAAATATAAAATAAAAAAAAATAAGTGTAACGTCAAGATGTGGGACCAGTTGAGATTGAAGTAAAAGAAAGGTAATGTTATTCGTTTTCATAATAAGTATTATGATAGTTTTAATTAGTTAGCAGGTTGTGTACACACAAATAAGTTACTTTGTTTATTGTTTTCAAATGATACTTATAAGAATGTTTGAATCTCCACTGGATATTCCTATTTAAATCTATACTAATATTATAAAACTGAAGAGTTTGTTTGTTTGTTTGAAAGCGCTTATCTCCGAAACTACTGGTTCGAATTGAATAATTCTTTTTGTGTTGGATAATCCAGTTATCGAGGAAGGCTGTGGGCTATATAACATCACGCTATGACCAATAGGAGCAAGGATATAGTGGTAAATGTGTAAAAAACGGGAGAAATTATTTCATCTTTGAAGCCTTCCGTTGCGTGCGCCGTGAAAACGGTTCACAAAAAATATGTAGTAAAGAATAATAGCTCTTTTAATGATTTAAAAAACAGTCCGCGACAGTATATGTCTATCTTTTAGGATTAACTCACAAAAACCGTTTTTATGGTACCTAATTTTGTCGAAATAATTTGTTTAAGTTGTATCAACATAATAATATTAATCTTTATTCAAATAAACAAATACATATGTTGTTGGTTAAGAGTACTTCGTTGTGAATTAAAAAAACATAGGTTTTATCCTGAAATTTCTACGGGAACTCGACCATTCCGAAAACCCCGCAAGAACGGCAACTATGTGGGAAAAACCAAAAATCTGTCGGAAGTCACTATTCCACGCGGACGAAGCCGCGGCAAAAGCTAGTAACTTTTATATAGCTGTGTGTACTTTCGTGGCTAAGAGGTAGGGGAGAGATTCATATAGTATATAGATGTTCGTTCTGATCGGACTGCTGTAACATTATGCACGAATGTTATCAATGTTTCAATGAAATTAATATTTTCTGATTACTTCGCGTATTTTATTATGTATAAAAACTACATACTCTCGACGTTTCGACGTATGTTTGTATCATAGTTTCACTCATAAATAATTAAAATATATTACTAACGCATTACACCAAACACAAATGTTATATAGATCATCAGACTGGTGAATATTTAAGTCTTGGCCCGATGATTAGCAACCTGTGAAATCAAGTGTTCGGGCCCCACGATACAGGTCTCCTAGTGTGGGGTCCAAAGATAACCAAAATTTTAACATTGCTAAAACCATAATGCACCTCAACCAATGGATCACTGTAGGTATGTAATAGTTTAAGTTTTAGAAGGTTAATTGTGTCTTATTGTGTTAATATATTATGTAAGCATTGTTTTTTCAATACAGTTTTATTGTTATTATACTGCTACGCCATTATGGTCATTACTGCACTCATTACTAATAATGGTATAACCACGCGTATTAAGTTGAATGCTTGGCTTGACTAAAGTTTCTGAAATAAGAGCAACATGTATGTTATTTTGGTATAAAACAATTTGAAACTTAAGTCTGTTACTTAACAGACTTTAAGCGTTCCATTGAACTATATTTAAGACTTGGTGGTTGAATGTGACGAATTGCTATTTTTATTCTGGATGGTTTCTTTAATAGCTGAGCTAATAAACTGTGGACTTATATTAATATTTTGAGTTTTATTTAAAGTTATGACGTTTACTGTCGATTCTGTTAGTAGAGTCATTGCTTCAGAGTTTGATTATTTCATGGGTATTCAAATTTTTATTTAATGATGGAAAATTTAATGATTTCTTTAAACTTGTCAGCATATGACTTGGGTTTGTTGTTTTCAATTTTCTTTTTTCCCTTATAGGGCACTGGCTAGAGATGGTAGTGTGGTACCATTGCAATAAATGCACTTAGCTTTTTCAATGTGAACGTGTTAGAGAGCCGGTTGCCTTTGAACTTTTCTTACCCTTTCCTACAATCTCCGAACTGCTACTCCTCCCTTGTCTTATAGCTTTATGTAGACTTTAATTTTTTTATGAAGAAGCATAGAGGCAGTGTAGCACACTGGACTCATGTCGTATAGTAGTGAGGCAGGCGGGCTGTTACAACAGGGAACCGTTTATTATCTCCGATGAAGTGTAATTTGGCTGAAAATGATCTGCGACGTGTTATATACAAAATACATTTTTATTTTATTTTTCTAACAAAGAAAATTAATAAGTTATCAAATGTATGTATGTACATATAATATATACATGTTTATTTATTAAATCTCATAGCGCGGCGGCGGGCGCCACGGGGTCGTCGAGGTCGAGCGCGGCGTCTATCATGGTGGTGTCGTGCAGCAGCCTGAGTCTCGAGGCGGACCCCACCACGTGCTGCAGCGGCACGGGCTCGTGCTCCAGGCTGTGGTTGGTGTACGCGTGGCGCGCCGCGTCGCCGCCCTCGAACAGGTTCGTGTAGCTCCCGCCCAGCGTGCCTGCACCGCACACCGACACACGATCTTAGCTCAAATGACAAGTTATCGGAGAAGGCTCCGTGTTTCACTTACCGTTTCTGTGTGTTGGTGCGGGCGAGTGTGCGGCGGCGGGGGGCGCGGGGGCGGGGGCCGGCGCGGGGGCGGGGGGGACGCACAGCACGTGAGCGAAGCGCGGCGGGAGGTCGTCACGCGCGTCGCTCGACAACACACCTCGCCTGGAACACAGGGACCGGTGAGCTCCGAATCCTCATATTTTCTAACATATGTCCCACGATCATATTTTCTAACATATGTACACGTTGTATCTCACTCACCGGTCTATGAGACTGGGCGCCAGCGGGCCGCAGAGGACGTGCCAGCAGTTAGCGCACGCGTTACCGCGCGAGTAAGGGTTCGTGCCCGCACCGCCCGAGCCGCGGCGGGAGAACGAGCCCTTGATCTGACGGACGAGGACGGAATCATCGGATTAATACTTTATGTTTAAAGATAAATAAGTGTCGAATCAATAAAAATGTACATTAAAGGAGAACACTCACATCCTCGTTAGTGGTCTGGTCCGTAGAGGCGAGGTAGGTGTGGAAGCCGGCCAGCCCCAGCACCGACCACACGGACAGGAAGCACACGGCGGCCGACACGGCGGAGGCGGGCGACGCGCGGAGAGCGGCCGCCAGCCCCGCGCCGCGAGCCAGCAGCGCCAGGTGAGTGACGGCGCACGCGAACACCCACACGGCCAGGAAGGACAGCGACACCACGAACAGGTAGAAGTAGCGGTAGTTGCGCTTGCCCACGCAGTTACCGACCCAGGGGCAGTGGTGGTCGAAGCGGTCGACGCAGTTGTCACAGAGCGAGCAGTGCGAGGCGCGCGGCGGACGGAACATCTTGCACGTGAAGCAGTACTTGAGCTTGACGGGCCGTCCGCGGACAAGGACCTCCCGCGCCCGAGGCGGCGGCCGGCCCGCGGCTCCGTCCGCCGCCTCCAGCGCGCCCAGCGCGGCCGCCTCATGCGGGGCGGCGCGCGGGATGATGCCCGGGTCGGACAGGGCCGTGCGCAGCAGGGCCGCCAGCGTCACGCCGCACAGCGCCGCGCCCGCCGCCGGCACGGCGCCTGACACGCGCGCCGCCAGGAACGGGCAGTCGAAGGCGAAGTGCAGCACGCAGGTGCCGCAGATGAGAGCCAGCGTGAGCGCGAACACGCCGGGGTGCGGCGCCGTCATGAGCCGGCCGTCGCACCAGAACCTGTTCCGGCCCGCGAACACCTCCCACTTGCGCGTCACGCGCCGCGACGCCATCGCCGCATCACCGCGCCCGCACCCCTCCGCCGCCTCCCTCTCACTGACCATTAGGTACATTTAACATGTTTAACAAAATAAATTTAACGTTCTTTGCAGAAATTCTTTCAATTATTTTTATTCAATTGTTTAATGTAATTTTATGACAATTATTTTATGGGTCCATAAACTAAGTTTTGTAAAGATGTCCTATAAATTGTAATTCCCTCTCCTCAATTATAAAATACCCATTAATATGTACAAAAGGATCCATATCAACATCTGTTGCTGTATGGCCAGATCTCCCACAGATCTCTTTTTTTATAAATTCTTAAAAATATATACACGTAAAATTCTGGTCACTAATGATTAGATAGCAATGCCATGAATTGAAATCAAAAGAAAAAGTTATTTCAAATTCAAACCAACAATATGACACAAAAATGTTAAGTGTTGTCTTCTTATGTGACATAAAACGTTGCACTTTAAATGAAGCTAAAAAGCTTCTCCATAATTGGCTAATATCATTGTCTTATGAAAATACAGAAAAAAATCTTATCATACAAACATGATCTCAGATTCATGATAATTATATTTATATCTTGTATATTTACTTTATTATGTATGTGTATGTATATGTGTCTGTATATGTACATATATATATGTGTGTTTATGTATGTGTATATGTATGTATGTATGTATATGTACGTGTATATATCTATATATGAGTGTGTGTATATATATATATATATATATTTTGCTATTGTAATATTAATTACTATATATTTATGTTATCCCATTTTATTTACTTGTCTTTGTATCTTTTCCCTTATATATTTAAGATTTAATACTTTTCAGCTTGTTATAGTTAATCGTAAATAAGGCATCCACAACACAAGCTTGCTTAGTGTGGACGCCCCTGGAAATCACGCCAAAGGTTTAAAGTTTATTTTTTATACATTTATGTCACATTAGAATAAATAAGCATAATTATAAATATTATAAGTATAAGGAAATATTAGCTGTTGTAATATCATAAAGTGAGATTCCAATACTGTGCTAATATTTGTTTGAATAGGGACTTGTAATAACAATATATAATTATATGTATGTCCTCTAACAAAGGTATGCATATTTTTTTGTAACACAACAACACCAATGAAATTCATTCTTCGATGGTATTGAAGCAATAAATGTATAAAATGTGTAAAATAACTTTTTGAAATAAATAAGTAAATAAAAAATAAATGTTCCAATATTGCTTGTACCAGACCATTGAGGTTGGTTTTGTGAAATAGTAAGCATTTGATTTCTTCAAGAGATTTTGCATCATGTATTTCACCCAGTATACAGGGTGACTGGTGAATTACTATCGATATTTGAGGACATGATATTTCACAATCATATATGACAAAATAAAAATTAATATAACACAAATATTAATAAACTTCTAAGTAAAGTTAACCAAAAGTTGTGTAATTAATTACACATTGTGTGAACACCCTACAGATTAGGTATACATACACACAGGCGCGTGCAGCGGCGTGGTGTTGTGTCAGCACGCCGCCGCACGCGTCCACACTTGGAACACTTGGAACGTGTCCACACTTTATTTATTTATACGGAAATTTGGTCAAAAATTAAGTACCTATTTTTTTACATAATTCGAATGAGAATCATGTACCGATTATTCTCCTTAAATATTGATAGTAATTCACCAGTCACCCTGTATATGAAGTGTTTATATGAATAATTAATCAATCACTTCAAATATTTGTTTATTATTTGAATCATCTTCATATATTCCCTAAAAATGCCATTTGTTACTATACAATATTACAACAAAAGTTAAACCCAAGTATCATTCAACCCCACACAGTCATTTAAACAGTAACCACACCTCATACATAATATATCTTATATGTGGCAATGTTTCAAAGCATCTCACATGCCTCGTTGTTACATGTATTTTATAATAAACTGACTTGGATTGTTAATGTTTACATTAGTCAAACTATTGTTACTAAGAAACTTACTATTTTACTGAAAGTGTTCTGTTACTTCGGTAAATAAACTTACTCTTAACCTACCCCCAGGTTCAAAAATGTTACAAAAAAGAAGTTATCCTCAACGCAATATGAATTACTTAAACACATTACAATAAAACTGATGTGTCCTCATACAATGTGTTTCTTAATTATATCACTCATTATGATATAAACTGCGTTAGTAATTGACTTAAATTAACAGTTTTAAGCATGCTTTATGATAAACCCGTTAAATTTAAAAAAAATACAAAAAATTGTTAAAGTATTAATGTTAGTATACAAATCAATATAATATCATGAACAGTTGGCATGATATAGTTTGTAACACATTGGTAATCATTATTTTTATCATGAGTAGTATCAGTGGCACACAGATAAAGATAACGTTCTAAACTAGAGAGAGGCCACCGTCGAGGACCAAATGGACCTACGGGGAACTGGAAATGTGTGATTATGAACCGACGAGCACTCCATTCAGACGATACATCGATTTACATTACAATATTTAGAAAACAAGGCGCAAGCGCAGGCGCGTGTGTTACTACCTCACATACAATTAATAATAGCACTCCGACGACTTACCCTTAAAAGATCTCCGGATGATGGACTCAAGAGACTTCTTGATGTATTTTATACAAAATATGATCAGTTTAAACAATAAAAAAAAAATAGATGTATTAAATGTATATAACGATTGAAATAATAACTTTTTCGAACGTTTATAAAACTTTATTAAACAAATTGAATATTAGAAATAAAAAATTCGTACAATTATACTGTAATTATGGTAATAAATATTTTTGCAACTAAAATAAACTTGTAGCAAAACTTTCTCCGATTCCTTTGACAACTGACATCATTAAAGTCATAGATTGTAAAACCTAGTAGGTATATAAGAATATACAGCTTATATATATTTCAAATCTCTGTAGAATGTTATTCAATATTGAGAGCCTAAATTATTGATATCATCGAATTTATAATTACTAATATTATTCTATTAACAGGAACAAAGTTTCTTTTTACTCACTATTTCCATCTAATTCAAAATTGTTGACCTGATGTTATAAAAAAATGCGATTGTTCTACAGTCGTGACCTTTACCGTCATCAACATCGACATATACTAATGGACATGCCTTAGAGATGAGAATTGTGGCACTCCGAAAGAAAGAGAGGAAACGAAGTTTCGATCTATCTTTATCTCTCTCAAAATAGTATCGTACTTAAGACGTTATGAGCCCCTTCTGGATAATTTATATGCCGTGCTAGTCATGAAAACTGAGCGCCAATCATCTACGAGGAAAGAGATAGCTAGACCGAAAGCATAGGCCATCTCTCTCACTCTTTTCAAACCAAAAAATTACTGCAGATTATACGCATACGACAAGTCCATTAGTTGTCAATGGTCAGAAAAAAGGAGAGTGGGAATTGAAACGTTGACGCGGGCTTTTTGAAAATTTTAATTATTTTAAATAGTTTTATACTATAATTTGCAATTTTATTTTAGTTTATTGTAAAGAAGTAAAACTTGTCTATATATAAGTGTTTATTTGGAGAGATGGTGAAAAAACGTAAAAAGAAGGATTCGGGTGAGTCCTTGAATTTCAGCACAAGCAGCGATTCCGATTGCGAGGATTCGCCAGTATTGCAGGATGCAAATGCCTTCGCTCCCTTTAGGGTCGCTGGTTATTGTCGGCGATACCCTGAAGATGCGGAAGCCAAGTCTGAATTCATAGTATTTGTCGAAAGTACTAATGATGTCCCACTCGGTAATAGGGACATGATGTCGCTTAGTACTAGTTTTATACGCTCTGTGAAAGGTATACAATATTTAAAAAAAATAATTAAATATAAGGTCGGTGTTGTTTTCCAAAGTGCGAATTTGGCAAATGCCTTTTTAGAAAATACTACATATCTAAAGGAACAACGACTTAAAGCTTCAATACCAGCAGGGGCCACCGAACTATCGGGAGTTATCTCTTCGGTCCCCACTCATCTATCCAATCACAAAATATATAAAGCCATATCAACAACAAAAAAAGTGATTTCTGTAAAAGGAGAAAATAACACCTTCACACTACAAGCTACTCAGAGGATAGTAATATCTTATGCTTTTAAATGTTTTAAATGTTTACGCTTTGATCATCTGGCTAAGTTTTGTAAAAATTCACCGCGATGCTCCATATGCACAGAGGGGCATTCTTTCAAAGAATGCAAGGTTAACATTGAAAAAGCTAAGTGCATTAATTGTAATGGCAATCACATTGCCATCTCTAGCCAGTGCCCTATAAGGCAGAAGAAAATCGCAAACAGTAAACCCAAGTCATATGCTGACACGTTAAAAGATTCATTAAATTTTCCCTCCCTTAATAAAAAATTAAAGACCCAAGAAGTAATCCAAGCAATACTATCAAATTCTGAAGCAATGACCCTATTAACAGAATCTATAGTAAAAGTTATTACTCTAAATAAAACTCAAAATATAAGTATTAGTTCACAATTTATTAGCTCAGCTATTAAAGAAACCATCCAGGATAAAAATAGCAAATCGTCACATTCAACCACCAAATCTTAAATATTGTGCAGTGGAACGCTCAAAGTCTGTTAAGTAATAGACATGAGTTTCAAAATTTTCTATACCAAAATAATATACATGTAGCTCTTATTTCAGAAACTTGGCTCAAGCCTAGCATTCATTTTAATTTACGTGGTTATACCATTATTAGGAATGACTGCGGTAATGATCATAATGGCGCAGCAAAATTAATTAAAAATGGTATACATTTCTCTCAACTAGATACTTTTTATGATGATTCATTACAAAATGTAGTAATTGTTATTAAACTGAAACATAAATGCATTTCTTTGGTTAGTTTTTACAGTCCTGGTAATAGTTCTCCTGCTTTTGAAAAGGCGAAGTTCGATCGTTTATTGTACAGTATTCCAAAACCGTTTATAATTGCAGGTGATTTTAACGCCCATCACACTTTTTGGGGTTGTAGTCGCATAGATTCTCGGGGCAGAGCTATTATGGATTCCATGGATGACCATGACTTAATACTTTTAAATAATGGTCAACCAACAACTATATGCTCTCATATTTGGAAACCAAACAGTCTAGATTTAACTACGGTGTCTTCTTCTTTATTTCTTTCTTGTGACTGGCAAGTTCATCAGGACTCTTTAGGGAGTTATCATCTGCCAACTATCACAAAATTTATTCTCGTAAAAGATCAACATGAGCCCTCTATTTCCTTGAACAACATTCCTTTTCACAGCAATCTGAAATTAGTAAATTGGGATAGGTATGAACAAATTTTAATAAAATGTTAATGAACTTTAAAGTTGACAATAGTGATCTCCTTGACTCATACAGAAAGTTTTGTGCAATTATTCTATTGGCAATCAAATTCTCCGGGCCCAGCTTAAACCACACACAACTGATAGTAATAATAACCGTCCTAGAAAAAGGTGTCAAGTGCCTTGGTGAAATGATAAATGTTCAAAAGTAGTAGAAGACTGCAAGAACGCCTACATTAATTTCAAAACTAGTCTTAATAGTAAAAATTACATTAATTTTAAACGCGCACAATCCTTTAAAAAACGCACTTTAAAAGAAGAACATTGCAAAAGTTGGTCTGAATTCTGCTCAACAATAAATCGTTTGACATCTATAAATCGCATTTGGACTAAAATAAGTAAATTCAAAAAAAGCTTTCCGAGTTCTAACTTATTTTCTGAACTCAATTGGGTTCAAACATTTTTATATAAATACACACCGGATGCTGTTTCACAACAGATAAGTATAGATAATGTTCTTGGAGTAAATAGTGATAATTCATACATGATCAGTTGTTTTACTATGTAAGAGTTAAAATCTGCTTTAGCCTCAAGAAAAGATTCTTCATGTGGCCTGGATTGGCTTTCCAACAGAATGTTTAAACTTTTAAATGTTCAAACTCTATCTATTTTTTTAAGTTTATTAAATAGTTTATGGTCGTCTTCTATTATCCCAGAGGATTGGAAAACTGACTGTTTTTACCGATATTAAAACCCGGCAAAGACTTTAATTTGGCTGATTCTTATCGTCCTATTACACTGAGTTCATGTGTTGGAAAAACTTTCGAACAATTAATAAAACAGAGATTAATTTTTCACATAGAAAGTAATAATCCATTACCTTACAATCAGTTTGGCTTTCGTTGTGGCCGTTCTGCTTGTGAGAGTCTACTCCATTTCTATCTGGATATCCACGATGCTCGTTCCGAGAATAAAGTACTAGTTGGTGTTTTTCTTGAAATTGTAGGGGCTTTCAAAAATGTAAATCTGAACAAATTATCCTCAGTATTATTATTACTACAGGTACCTGGAAAAGTTGTAAATTGGATTTTTAATTTTTTGAACTAGAGAAAGGTGTTTGTTAAGATTAACAATCAGTTATTTGGTCCAAGATATTTTTGTAGGGGTGTATCACAGGGTGGTGTATTGAGCCCACTGCTTTTTATCCTATTCATTCATCAGCTAAATTTAACTCTGGGGTGTGAAGTATCTAATCTGCAGTTTGCTCAAAAAATGGAATTAGAAATAGTATAAATATTTTGTTCAATAATAATGTAATGTCTGTAGAGAGCTCTGTAAAGTTTTTCGGTTTTATTTTTACAAACAATTCAAGATGGAATAAGTATGCTGAAACTCTAGAATCTCGAGCTTTAAATGCTTGTAATGTTTTAAAATCTTTCACAGGCACATATTGGGGTGCTGATCCAAGGATTCTATTAACATTGTATAAATCATTAGTAAGGAGTCATTTTGAATATGCTTTTTTTTGTTTTGTAGGGGTAAGAACTATAGTAGACAAATTAGAAAAGATACAAAATAAATGTTTGCATATTATAATGGGTGCCATGCGAACTACTCCCATAGTGTCAATGCAGGTGGAATGTAATATACCTCCATTAGCACTTAGGTTTAAATACTTACAATCAAAATTTTTTGCAAGGTTGCTGTCCGTCAGTAATCATCCACTTCTTGTTAAACTACGGGACACTACTAACAGGACTGCCAATATTAATTCATATTTGTTTCAAGGTTTTTCTGAAACAGAACAAATTATTAATAAACATAATATATTTTCTAGCATGGTATGGCCTTGTTACTCTGGGTTATATGAATAAAAAATTTATTCAGATTAAAATTGTAGTCAAAAGTCTTCTAAAGTATAAGGAAGACATTTATAGGGAACTTGATAGGTGGCAGGGATATCATCAGATATATACAGATGGGTCTAGGAACAATGAAGCAGTCTCTATAGCTGTCTATGATAGTCAGATCAAAAGTGGATTCGGTCATAGGCTGAATCCACTCACAAGCATATACTCCGCTGAAGCCATAGCTGTATATACAGCTATGGAGCACATTCAAACACAGACTCATCCAAAGTGGATTATAATAACGGATAGTTTAAGTTTATTAACGGCTTTACAAAATCCACAATTAAATTCAAAAACTAACTATATTATATATAAAATAAGAGAGTTGTATCACCTGCTGTCTCAAAACAAGCAAATAGTACTATTCTGGACACCAGCCCACATTGGTGTGCATGGTAATGAGCAAGCAGACTATTGAGCTAAACTTATTACAAATCCGGCTCACAATCAATTAAGTCACAGCTTTTAAAATTTCCCAATTCCTTATTCAAACGCTCTATCCCTCTTCAAACTCAAGTTACAGAAAGAATTTTACAACTGATGGCATCAGGTGGTAAAGGTAAAAGGTAAATGGTTCGCTACAATAAAGAAAAAGGTCTCTTCTCCCTGGTTTACCCGGGATAGTTACTATAGCCATAGAAAGTATTATACCACAATCTGTCGTTTGCGTCTGGGACATTGTAGTTTTGGTGCTCACCTTTTTAAGATTGGTGTTTTTGACTCTTCAATTTGTAGATATTGCAATAGTGATGATGAAACCCTCGAACATATATTTTTTGATTGTCCACAGTTTAGTACTCAAAGGATGGTCCTTGTAGACCAACTTTTAAGTATTTTTAAAACTGCTGAAGATATCCCGCGCTCCCTTCAGCAAATACTAAGCATTCAAGAACGCTTCTTGCCAGTTTATGGCTTTATTGTTTCTACTATAAATGAAATCTAATTGTTATTTGTACATATTTATTTATTTATATGTATATAATACAAATTTATTCGTTTTGTTTTAGATATTTGTTTTCAGCTATTTCAGCTATTTTCAGAATTTGACTGTTATATCGATTTTGCCAATTAATTATTGTACTAAAAATGACATTACAAGGACTTGACATTAAAAAGGCGGAATGTAAAAAAAAACAGAATTTGACAAAAAAAATATTTAAAAAAAAGACATGTTTTCGGCCTTATGATTAAAAAATGATTCAAGAAGAAAAATTAAAAGAAGACATGGCTTAGGCCTGATATAAAAACCTGAGTCTAGAATAAAAAGGATATTAAGACATTTAAAAATAATTAAGGATAAAAAATATAAGACATGGCTGTATGGGCTTTGTTCTCTTTGCCTGTTCTGAACGGAACGAACATAACCAAAAAAAAATGTCAATGTATCACTGACAACTGACAAGTGTCAGCCGTGTTTAGTGTCACGACTCACGTTACACGTCAGTCACCGTTATTAAAGAAAATGATAAAGTCGTTGCTTTATTCAAATAATATTTATATATTACGTGGAGGTGTTTCATATTATTGTAAAATAATACGTTATAAACAAGTGGATATTAATTTTAAAAACGGAACTTCCATTGACCTGTGCTGTATATAAACTCGTACCGCAAACCATGTAGTGCCATCATATTTACAAAAATAAAACGAATTCTTGAAATTTTAAAGAGATATATTTATCATCATGGGTTCTAGAAAAGAAGCACTAATAGTAGGATCGTTATGTGTTCTCTGGTACACTCTAAGTTCAGCCAGTAACGTGGTGGGCAAGTTGGTTTTGACCGAACTGCCCTTTCCCATGACAGTGACCATGGTGCAGCTGTCGTCCACAGTGTTATACAGCATGCCCGCCTTCGCTGCTTGCGGCATACGTCGAGCGCCCTCGTTTCCGCGGTCCTACTATGTTCGTGTGCTGGGGCCCCTTGCTTTAGCCAAATTTCTTACAACCATGTTCTCTCAAATTTCTATCTGGAAAGTGCCGATTTCATATGCTCACACTGGTCAGTCGACTATATTAATAGATTTGTAATTCTTCAACAGCTCCTTGCAGACTGATTGTTCTTTTATCTTTTTCATATTCAGTGAAGGCGACCACTCCTCTATGGACGGCGGCGCTCGCGTACCTACTTTTCGGCGAGCGGCAAACGCCGGCCGTGCAAGGATCGCTGCTGCTAATCGCGGCCGGCGTGGCGGTCGCCTCAGCAACCGAACTTCACTTCGACGCTCAAGGTATGGGAGCGGCCCTGGCGGCCGCAGCCCTCTTGAGCCTTCAGCATCTATACTCCAAGCGAGTCATGCGCGACTCGGGCGCGCACCACCTCCGCCTGCTGCAGACACTGAGCGCGCTGGCCCTGGTCCCGCTGACTCCTCTCTGGATGGTCACTGAAGCCAGTGGCCTGTACTCGGCGCGGCCGGCGGCGGGCTGGTCGCACGCGGGCGCGCTGCTGGCGGCGGACGGGGCGCTGGCGTGGTTGCAGGCCGTGGCCGCGTTCAGTGTCCTGTCCCGCGTGTCTCCGCTGGCGTACGCCGTAGCGTCGGCCGCCAAGCGTGCGGCGGTGGTGGCGGCCTCGCTGCTGCTGCTCCGGAACCCCGCGCCTCCCCTCAACCTGGCGGGCATGGCGCTGGCCGGGCTCGGTGTGCTCGCCTACAATCGAGCTAAACTGCGCCGCCGCGAGGAAGAAGCCCAGCGTCCACTGCTGCCTGTCTGACGTCATTTGCCATACTTTCTCTTAGTCAAATTGAACCTTTTTAGATATCTTAGTAGAATAATTTTATGACATGACAAAATTATTATTATATAAACTCTTTTTAATACCTTTTGTACATATTGTACATAGATAATGACAGTGTTAGTGCTATAGTGTTATGTAATATTTTTGTATATTTAAAAAATAACTATTTTTTGACATTTTGGAGGGAGAAGTATTCCTCCTTACTCATAGTGAATGTTCACAATAGATGATTGTCAATGGCACAAAAATAAATATAATCAGCCTTAAAAACACAGACCATATAAAAAGTATTGATAGTGAAGTAATGGTTTGCCTGTAGGTTCATTGTTCAGTGACATTGTGATTTTATTTCGTGCTTTAAATTTTAAAGATTGTTTATCTTTTTTTTTAAATTCTGATTTGGTGCTAAGTCAAGTATTAATTTATTATATTATTGTTTATGTAAGATCATATCAGTACACGAGCTATCTCTGCTTGTTAAATCAAATGATTACTATAAAAAAAACATCTAATGGCTTGTGAAAGAATAATATGTAGGAATAATTATTGTGATCTGGATATGAAATGTTACAACATAAAGAACACCAAGTGTGTCAAGGAACAAAATCTCTTTACTGATATTAACTGTGAAAGTAATATCTACATCAGACAGCAGCAGATGCTGAGTTTGTACCTACTGTTTTTTATTAATACACAAGAAAAAATTAGAAGGTCGCTTATTACAATGATGTATTTTGTTAAGTATTTTGTTGATAATATAGTTGATAATAAAATAGATAAATTTGTTTTAATTTTTTTGGTATATTAATGAAATATGTAGCTATCAAATTAAATTATGAATTTTGGACCTTACTTACTTACTAACTGACTTACTACACAATAACTTTGAAAAGACGACACCTCTCAGCATTCCATGGAATCACGGTGGAGGTGTCGAGTCACACACTCACCTCCACCGACCAAGCTCCTCTCACTACCTATCCAAATTTGAAACGGACCTACTAGTTGTTAGTAGTAGGTATGTGAGTGAGACCTAAGTCTTTATTTATTTATTCTTTATTGCACCCAATTCTAAAAATAAAAATAACATTTTCTTTCTTGTCTTTATGTAGGTTGTGAAGAGATCTCGCTATTATACCTCTCGATTAGTATTCCATTGATGAATCTTACTTCCAAAGTAGAGCTCATGTTTCAAATATCTCATGCCTTAATACTCAAGGGGCTGTGGGCAAATAGGGACAAGTCTTTCCCTCCCGACTATTGAGATGCAGAGCTAGATTTCAATGAAAAAATTTAATAAAAAAAGCATATTGTTGATTAAAAGTATGATTACTATAATTTCTTTAACCAATATTAATTGGGTGATGAGTTGTCAAGTTCTTCGGTAGTGTAGTCGGAGGGCGCCTTACATCTCTAAAAAACGTAGTTGTTCGCACTACACTTACTGAAACTTTATTTCGGTCAAGTTTCACATTATTCAGTCAGTGTTAATTTAAATTACTATAAAATTACATGAAGCAAAAAATTAAGTATCATATACCTACATTTAAATCATCTGTTTCTTTAGTAGGTATATCCTTTCTCATATTGAATTCATTTTAATATATATTTTACGTTTGTTCATACTGTTCTCCACGAGCTCATGCAGTTTTATCATCAGTCTTTTGTGCCAGCAATGCTCGATCAATGAAACGAGGTTGTCTTGAAAAGCATTTCGAGACGGAACCTAGTGTAGATTTTGATTTGCGTTACTTTATGTTAAGAGGGACAGTGAGGCAGTATGTTTGTACCAAAAAAACAAAACACTTGTCGATGCAAAGCCAGTCTCCGATCATCATGCTGTGGGAATAGTGTTAGATCTGCTCGCGCATAGCAACAAAAAATATCAGTGAAGTGTAACGAAATGCGGAAAGTTATAATGGTCTAAGATCCCGATATAAGGCGACCTTCACCGAGATGTTTATTTGATGAAACATATTTTATATTCAATTTAATATGTCAATAACTATATTACATATGGGTTGCCTCATAAATTTTAGTCCAGGATATGATTAATTAACAATTAAAAATAGATTTTTTTTCAAATATTTCACCGGTTTGTTTATTAGATAAATTCCACACCAATCGAAAGTACGGAGCCCATAGAATATGAAAACGTTAGGTTTTTTTTTTTTGTTATCGCGGTGAAAGGTTTTATACCTACCCCTCCGTCTAGGGGAGACAGAGGCGGTTATGTGGGATTCACGGCCAGAAGGGCCCATGTTACCCACTAAAACACCAGCGGTCACTCTCCGTTGCCGCCAAGTGGATCGCCACGGGAAACGCCGAAGCATGCATCCGCGACGATCCGGCGGCGGGCCGCGAACGGCCACCTCCCCCCCCGAGGGCTCACTCCAAGTGACCAGGAGTGTCCCCCCGCCTGGCGGGCTTGCTTAATCGCGAGAGGGTTAACCCCTTACCCCTCCCACCCAAGCCCACGCGGCCAGTCTCCAACCACCCACCGACGAGCGCAAGCGCCCGACGGCAGACAGAGAGGAAACCGACCGACCACAAGCGAACTCAGGCCTCCGGAGAGACCCGAGTATCCCCTCCCCCCAAGACAGCCACGGACGGCCTCCTGCCAGATCCGTGACCGTCTTACTCCCAGGGCTGTACCCCCAGCCCTCCCCCCCGTGACTGATTGCACCGGAATACACCAGTGGGCGATGGGGTCGTTAGGTCCCGACGCCGGAATGAAAACGTTAGGTTGCCCTATTCTTTTCCAGTCACAACTCTCGGGTTGCCAGGGATAAACAGGTACATCGATAGTAGCATTTTGCACCGGTCTGTTAATTTAATCAAATTTAAATGAAAATAAAGATAATTTAATTATGAACACGGTGAAATAGGGTTGCCTGCGAAAAATCGGTCCTAAATTAGGGTTGTCGAATTTTGAAAAGTAAAATATTGCCGCGAGTGAATATGTACGACTGAGAGGTCCCAAGCAACTGTTCCGTGCGTTAGAAGAGGACAGAGCTTAACAGCTGCGTAAGGTCTTCCCATTTAAAGAAAGAGAGTGTGTATGCTATTTGTACTATAGGCCTATAGCAATTTTGTCCGTATTGATAAAATCTTTGAGAAATTAATAGTTGGACGGATAACTAACTTTTTATAACACCATAAAGTATTGACTGACACACAGCATGGCTTTAGGAAAGGGCGCAACACTATTTCTGCCTTATCAGAATTTGCACAATTCACTAATGAATGCTTACACTCTGGTAAACAGATAATAAGCATTTTTATAGATTATAAAAAAAGCATTCGATACCTTCGACCATAATATCTTACTGCAAGCGATGAATGAATGCGGAATACGCGGCCCTGTCAATGATTGGCTCAAAAATTACTTAACTGGTAGGAAGATACGAACGATGGTCGCCGGTGTGTGTGGTGAAGAAGCGCCTGTGGAGCTCGGTGTACCGACCGGCTACATCATGCATGTTAACAGTTTTAATTATTTAGTATTTAGGCCTAAACGTTGATAGTACTTTCAATTGGAAGATACATGTAAATGATTCACTGTTACCCGTGCAGTGATCCAAAGTGACCCGTTCCCGGGCCACAGTGGAGCATTTCTAATTTTTTTTTAAAATGCCTATACCTTGTAAATATGTATAACACACACAATGAAATGTCTCTTATTTTAGACATTAGATATTTGCATTATCATTTAATTTAAAAAATGTATCATTTTGTCATATAAAACTACGGAGTAACACTTCTTTAAAAAAAAAATGATTCACTGTTACCCAGTCTCCCCTAATTGTAATAAGGACTATGAAAAACTCTTTAGTGTTTGTAAAATTTTACCGATTGAAAAAAAATTTAATATTTAATAGGATTAGAGTATTATTATAATAAAGAACATAAAATACCGATAAAAAATGTATACAATACCCGGAATGTGGAAAAAAATAAATTTGTACAACCAAGATTAAAAAATTATAATGTAGAGAGATTATCAGCATACAGTGTACCTAAAGTTTTTAATAAAATTGATATGTTAAGAAAAAATGATAAAATAAGTAAATAAATGTTAAAAACAAAACTTAGGGACTTGTTTCTCAATGACGAAAATCTGTCGTCATCGTTAAATAAGACCAGTGAACTTTATAATATTATAAAAGTTATACATAGTGTTGATATACTTTTTAGTTTTAAGAATATGGTGTTATGTTTTGTTTCTTTAATTTTTATTGTGTATTGTGAACCGTTATTTTTATTTTCTTTGTTTAAACAAAATGAGCGCGTCTCAACTCTCACCGTCAAGCATAATAGCTTGGTGAGAACAAAAATAATTGTAAACCATTATTATTATTAAGAAATAAATAATAAAAAAAGATACTTAGTTTCTTAACGAATAATAATCAGTATAAGTAGGAATTAGGAAAATATTAACCTCAAAAACTTGACTAGTTTCATTGGATCCAAAATATTAAGTAACGGGTAGGAGTCTACCTACTCGTTATTGTCAATATTCTCTACGCTGATATAAAGTAATTGATTTCCAACATAGATAATTTCTTTATGTGGTAGAGCCTAGCTGTGATCAAGTAACTACATCTCGAACATAGGCTATGTTCCCGTACATTTAAATCGATAGGTCGCTGGTTCATATCCGGCTCGAAGGACCATTTAAATGTACTGGAACTTGGTCACTCGTACACTTAATAAAATGATATAAATTGATAATGCTTCTTAGTTTGATTAATTTGATATAATATCGAACTTCGTATCGACCTATAATCAAGAAATATCTGTTACTTTTTTTAATAAATAAAGGAGATTGTCCACTTAGTATGGGGACTTTGGCCTGACGTGAACAGACATTTTATCATATTTTTTGTAATCAGTTTAAAAGCACTAACTAGTAATAATGAGAATATGAACTTAATTTTGTATCAAAATGTTTAAAAAGAGATTTTTGTCATGTG